TTTATTATAGCTATTTAGATTCTTAACACTACGCTAATTAAATTAAATAGCTAGAAAACTCTATATAAGGTAGTAATAAGCTATAAACTATTAGTAGCTTATTATATTTCTATTAGCTATTAAGCGTATATTTATAGAAAGAACTTTAAGAAAGCTAATAAACTAGAAGTACATATTTATATTAGATACCTACTAGAATAGAACTTCTTAAATATCTTTAGAATCTAGATACTCTTAAAGAATAAGGTTATCTAAACTTAAGACGTTTTATTTATATGTAATAAGCTATATAAGAATAATAGTAGTAAATATAGAAAGTCTCTAGTAGTTAATATAATTAATATTAAGGTATATAATATCTCTTATAAAGAGCTTATAGTAGAGGTTAAAAATCTACTACTATAGAGCTAATTATACCTATTTAATATAACTTTAGATAAATAGATGTTAATACTAGAGTAATATATACTAGCTAAAGAATTAGTAGAAGAAGATCTAGAAATACAAATCTAGAAGAAGTAATAATAAGCTAAGAAGCGTAATAAGTCTCTAAGAGGTTACTTAATTACTCTAGTATTTTAAGAAACTAACCTCTCTAAGCTAAGCTTATCTACTATTTAAGCTAAATTACTATAAAGACCTCTTAGAGCTATAGAAAACTCTAAATATATACTAGATAGATACTAGAATAATACTCTACTATATCGAAACCTTAATTCTAAAAACCTAAGTAATATAATATAGAGTAGACGCTATAGATACTCTTCTCTAAAACCTAAATATATAGCTAGCGTAATTAAAGTATAAAAGAAAGCTTAAATATTTAACTTAATACTATTAATAAACTTATATAACTATATATTTATAGCTTTAGTAAGCTATATTAATAAACTAAGAGTTAATAGAGAGCTTATAAGGTTAAAATACTACTATAATTAGATACTACCTCTACCTAAGTATTATAAGAATATTAAAGGCTATATATTTAAAGCTAAGTTTAAAGAGGCTATATAGAAGAAGTTTAGTAACTACTTTAAGAAAGAGTACTTTAAGAAGACGTTAGTAACGCTAGCGTTAACTATAGTAGAGTACCTTCTACTTATATAGATATTATTATATAAATTTAATAAAGATAAATATCTACTTAAGTGTAAAGCTTGTCTAGTAGTTTAAGAAAATCTCTAAATATAATAGAGCGATATCTATACTACTACCTTAGTAGTAAGAATCTTTTAAGCTCTAGTAGCTATAGTAACCGCCTTTAGATTACTAATATATTAGTATAACACTATAAACGCCTTCTTAAATGTAAAGCTTCTATAGAAGCTCTACTACTATACTCTAGAAGGTTTTACTAGTTAGTTTAGCAAGCTCTTAGAGCTATATTAAGCTCTGTATAGGCTAAAGAAAGTACCTCTACTATAGTATAAGAACCTTATAGAGACTCTTAAGAAGTTAGAACTTATTAAAATAAGTATTATACTATACCTATAGACTAGTAATAAGCTTATAGTCTTCTTCTTTATTAATAATATTATTATACTTATCTACCTAGATAATATAGACGTTTACGTAGAGTTTAAACACTACCTACTTAAAAAGTATAAGATTAGAAAGATAGATTAACTTAATTAGTTTCTAGGTATACAAGTTATAAGAAATATAGAAGTAGCGTTAACCTAGCTAATCTAGAATTTCTTTATTAATAAGGTTGCTAATAAGTTTAACCTACTTCTAAAACTAGGTACTAAGTATCTATAATTCTCTATAAGAGAGAATAACCTTGTAAAATCTATAGAGGCACCTAATAGAGAGTAAACAAAGCTTTTCTAGTAGCTAGTTAGCTTGCTAGTATATATTTTCTACTTTACACATCTAGATATATTAAGAGCTTACTTAGTATTAGCTTAATACTTAATTAACCTAGGTTAATAATATCTCTACGCCGCTATATACATGTAGTAATATCTTATAGAGTTAAAAACTCTTATACTTAAAGTATTACAATACGCTGCGAAGAAGAAATACTTCTAGAAGATAGATTTTAAAGAGCCTATCTTCTATAGAGCCTTAGATACTTTATTTAGTAATAACCTAGATACTAGAGTAAGCTCTAAAGGCTATATCTTTAAGCTATATAGATTACCTATAGATTAAAAAGCTACAAAATAATAGATAGTAACTAAATTAATAACTAAGGTAGAGCTTCTAGCGCTTTTAAAGATAGCTTTAGAAATAGAGTAGTAGAACCTACTTTTCTACTACCTAAAGCTAAACCTTAATATTAAACTAAAGCTTTAGTGTAATAATTAGTAGACTATAGATATAGTAACTAAGGCTATAGAGAAGCTTTAGATAAAGCTTAAATACGTTAACGTATACTAAATATAGCTCTACTAGAAAGTTAAAAACTAAAGAATTAACGTTAAATAGATTTCTATAGGTTAAATACTAGCTAATAGACTTATAAAGATTCTATTATCTTAAAAATACGCCTACTTTATTTAATAGCTAAAGCTTAAGAATATTTCTAGTAAGTTAAAGGTTCTACTATTCTTAGTAGAGTAGTAGAAGCTATCTAAGAACCTTTTACGCTAGTACTAGATTAGATAGTAAATCTAACCTAAGTAATATATACCTAATTTGCTAGTATTTTAAAACTTCTAAGATAACTATTTATCTATATTTTACTTTTAGCTCTACTATAGAAGCGTATACTATATTAATTTAACTATTTTCTTATAATTTTAACGTATATATATACTAGTTTTATACATAATTCTATTATATCTTAACTAGCTACGTTTATTATAATCTATTAGATTAACTATAAAATTAATAGGCTACGTTTATTATAATAAGTCTAGTCTTAATAAAATATATAGTAACGTGTTAACGTCTACTTAATAATCTACTCTATAAAGTTACTATAAGCTATAAAAGGTCGCGATAACTATAAAAATACTCTAAAAGCTATTAAATAAGATATTCTTTCTTTTTTTTACTCTCTACTCTTAAGTTTAATTTACGCCTTTACTATTACTCTATCTCTCTTTTTACCTACGTAGAAGCTATAGAGATTAGTAGTAGAGAGGTATTATACTATTACTTAAATACTTAAACACTCTACTATCTAAATCTAACCTCTAGAACCTATATTAGACTTTCTAATTAGAAATAGGTATAGCCTTATATATAGATCTCTTATCTCTCTACTTTCTACACTTCTCTTTTAACTCTATAGAGTTCTCTTATAAGAGAGGTAGCTCTTATAGAACACTATAGCACTAAGAGGTATATTTATAGAAGATAATTATTAATTATCTTTTTAAGTATAGTTAAAAGCCTTACCTTCTTAGATAGCTTTCTATATATACTCTAAGCTAGAAGAGTGTATTACTAGATATAGTTACTACTTTACGTAACCTAGTTATGTATATATATAGCTATATTTCTCGTATTCTTAATTAATTAACTTATGTCTTAATACTCTGCAATTCATCTAATAAATCCGGATCCAGCAGTGCCAATCGAGCAATATAATTAGTTTACTGCCTGGCGTTAGGTCTAGTAAGCCATACTTAATGGATCTGTAAGGGCCTATAGAGGGGGTTCATTGCGCATGATGTGGCATTTATTGTATTCTTTGGTTTGTGGGAAGGATACGTTTGCGATTTGTAATTAGCCTCTAACGCAGGAGCTTGTCGATGCGTACAAGAACAACCAAAGCTCCAACCAAATGACGAAGGGAGCGTCGGAGGTGTTAGCACAGTGCTGCGTTCGAACTTCGGAAGGAGAGACATCGCGGAGCGGCCTTAATATTTGCGGTTAACGTGTCGCGCGAACGCAGATCTAAGTCAACCCTTAGTAAGTAAAAGTATACTGAATTAAGAAAAAAATCGCCGAAATCACCCTATTCGTCACCACCTCCATGCCTTATGCACCCTGCGTCTGAAAAAGGCCTCTAGGTTAACACGGTAAACTTCTGGCTTGTGCCCGTCGTGGCCGCCATGCTGCTGAGTAGCGAACCTTTCGGACAGTAGAAGCGCACTGGTACCAGTCTGTACCTTTCCGCTCCGCGACAAAGTCGACAAGCACTCCGCATGTCATGGGTGTGATTTTAATTAATCTACATCTAGCAGCAAAACGAAATTCTTCCATGTCGAACTCTTCTTCAGCTAGTACCGATACCAACCTTTGCGCAAGCTCCACCTCCACGCCAATGGCCAGATTCCCTGTGACTCCTCCTCAGGAATGCAGGTGGCGCACGCTACTAATTAGGACACATTCCTACCCCCAAAACAACCAGAGAACGCCAGTCTAACTGCCCTTCGTGCGAGCCGGTTTGACTTCCCCAATAAGATACTAACAAACTTGGATCCGCTGACAACAGATAAAAGAGCAGTCACGTATTTATCCATCTATCTATGCAGTTGGCCAGCAGAGAGTGAACCTGGAAGTCCACCAGTGCTCAAGCGCAAGCCGACAGGGCACGCAGCTGTGCTACTTAGAAGGGGCTGTAATGATGAAGGGAACGGCTTTAACCTAGAAACTATTAGCAAAGACAGACACTCTCCACCAATCTTAGAGAAGATTCCGGGAATCCCTGCGCACACCTCATAGACAAGCCACCTCTCCCTCTCGCTTACAACACTCCTAAGAGCATGAAGACATTTCGCACAGCGGCACTTTCCCCACCCGCCTATTGGTGCCATAGTGCCCAGATGAGCAGAAGTATATAAGGTGGAAGGCTAGCGAATCCAGACCATTGGGACCAGATATCCTTCAGTGTGGGTCAGCCATTCTCACACGGATTACAGATTGGGGCTACGGCTGTGGATATGACGAGATACGGCGCATTCAGTTTCCTCTTAAGTCTGTCTACGCGATCGCCGTGGGCATACCAAAATCCTGCAGCAGACTACCTGAACTGGAAGGCTATCGTCCTCGACAAGCCACCGTCGAACCTGCTCCCATTGACATGACTAGCAACCCTAGCCATGAGGACCACATGCAACAACAATCCCCAACGCGACGGCAATCCTCAGGGTGAAAACATTCCTCGGCGCAACAACAATGCTCAGTGCGACAGCAATCAGCAGTGTGGCAGCTATTCGGGATCTGAGAGTGCTAGAGCTTCAACATCAGCAGTGCTCATTGTCAGCGATGTAGAGAGGCTCTCTGAGTCCGTCGCGTTTCTAGTACATCGAGAACCAATTTTCAACAAAGAGGCTCATGAAATGCGGAAACACCTACGCTCTGGTCTCGGTATCGGCATTAGCTAACCCGAATCGCGACCTAGGAGCTGGACTGGAACAGCGCCTCCTGGGGCGGGCCCCAAGACCAAGCCGTCACCATTTAGGAACGGTGCCATGCTCTCATCCGCTACTTCAGCAGAGCCTGACTTGAACGTCTTTTTGCCTTTAAGTCCCGGTCTATGCTCCGGCTCATGCCATGGATGGTGCTTACCGAGGTGGCCCGCGCCGATGGCTTCGCCTCCAGAGTCATATCACGGGTCGATAAGCATCGCACGGAGTTTTGCGCCCTGCAGGCAGAACAGAACCTTCTCGGGAACAGCCAGACGGTGGTGCTGGGTGCAGCTGTGGAGGCGCATGCGTGTATTTAGATGATACCATCAGTGCCGCGAAAGCTGCTCTGGAGAAACGCTATCGCGCAGGGATAGCAAGGTCATGTCTGAAGAAGGCAAAAACATGAAGTTTGGTGATCAAGTAGACTGAAATAAGGGGAAGCGGCGTCCTTGTCCAATAGTGAAGGTAGAGAGCTTAGGAAGGATAATAATAATGATCCGTGGTGATACAAGGAGGAAACGGCGCGAGCGGTGCAGGAAACTAAAGGCAGTCGTTAAGTGCCAGCAATAAGGTACCTGTGGCGGAGATGGCGGTTGTTATGCCACAGGAGCAAGCGGTTGCTCGTCAGGAACTGGTCATCCGCAGGCGTGGCTGTTCAAGCGTTTGGACATTAACATTGTCTATGCTTGGACTTAGCAGAAGACTGAGACGGGTCCCCTTGCTCCTAGCCGTCCAATTGCGCAGGCCCATGGCGGTTTGTGCTAGTTATGGTGGTGCTGGAACGATGCAGTAAGCTGTAGGTTTGGGAGAATGTATCTCCCATGTAGATGGAGAAGCTTAGAGCTTACAACAAACCCCAACCCTGTCTTCCAGCTCCCTCACCCGCATACGGCAGCGCTATGGTAGAGCCGATTCATCTCAGTAGAAAGGATGCGTTACAAGAGCCTTGATCCGCACCCGCTGCGAGCACCGTACGAGAACGCCGGCGGAAGCACTAACCGTGGAGATTCAGCGTCTCTGGACTAGGTGGCGGGACACCCACACCATCATCGGACACCGGTGTTCCAGGCAAGAACACTGGAGTGACAGACGCTGACGCTAATAGTGGCATTCTTAAGCCTCCGCCGTGAAATACAGCCTCCTGAAGCACATCTAACTTAACTTGAGCGATGGCCGGAAGATACTAGCGCCTTGCTTGATTACTATCGACGATGCTATCATCTTGACAACGTACGACTGAGCGCAGGCATCGGCGTTATATACATGTTCCCAGGGGCAGCAGTCCTCTTTCAACACCGCCACCTCCCCGCTAGCATTTGGGATTAGCTTATTGTGTCTTCCCGATACAGGGCCGTTTAAGGTGCTGGTGCTCTAAGGGGGCCTGTTGCTCCTCTTCGGAATAGGATCCCTATAATAATATTCAGGCCTATGTTTCGAGCGCTAAGTTAGAATAAGCCCACTGCTTCTTGTGTGTGGTGGCTTTGTTGGTAACGAGGCGCGCCGCCGAAGGGCAGGGGAAGGAGTCGCCGCTGCTTGCCATATCGCCCAGAGAAGAGGAGTAAATAGGTTGCCCATGGGGGGTGAAGAAGTTAGACCACTGGTCAAACATGTTATCCACCACCACCTAACGAACTGGATAGAGAGGAGCTTCTGTGGCTAGACTGCGCAGGTGTGCAGCTTGGTGTAGAGGACGTGGGGGTGATTGTGGAAGAGAGTGAGGTATGATAACTAGCATAATGCAGTAGAAACAGAAGAAAGGAAGGCACGAGATATATACGAATCTGTTAGCGGATATATAAAAGGTTATAACTGAAAAGAGTAAAAGGATTAATTGTTTTGCTCCTAAAAGAATCTTATGCTTGGATAATCTTGCATGTCCTTACCTTTTAGGATAACTTTTCAACGTGACGCTCGAAACCTAGCGTGGCCGCGACCAAGGCCGAAGACTACTAGAATCGTACCTAATACATTTTGAGTGCTTCGAATTGGGACTGGCGATTAGGCAGTGTGGTCTAGAATGGGGGAGTTGTGTTGGCTGTGGTTTCTGTTCGCAGATAGATTGCTGGAAGATGCGCGGCGCAAGGCGCAACGCACGGTGGAGTCGGCACAGAGCGGGATATCGTTGTTTGAAGTGGTTTGATGCCCCTGGTTCCTCACAGATTGGGAGCTACACATGCTGCTCCAGGAGTAGTTTTCGAACGCGACTTCTCCCTATCCTCTACCCAGTACAGTGCACTCGCTCTTTTCTGTTGAGGCGCCCCATTTAGGACAAGCTCCAGCGTTGCTTTCTAGATTAAGATGCATCCTTTATGCAATGATAATATGAGCTAGGGGGTAACCCCCGTGAACGCGCATGCCTAATAAATAGACCTTGTCTCTACCCGAAAGCGTGCTCACTTTTCACGCAATGGTTGAGCTCCTCGTTCATTATGCGAACCTCTGCAGCCTCCTGATAGTCTCGCGTGCGTGCGATCCGAAGCTCAGCGGTAGAACGATAAATGGATCTGGACAAGAGGTGAGGTATTCGATAATGAATGGGGAACTAATAGTGGCGCCTAATGCAACAATCTTATGTGCGCCACGCCACAAGACCGCACTTGTGTTATTAATAGGAGATATCCAATGCAGCCCCGTGTGGCACTAATACTTCCTTCGAAATGGGCGTTGAGCTTTTGTGCCTAGTGAGCGTAGTCGCAGGTTAGAGGTAGTCTTGAACTTGTAGGTCGACTCGTGAGAGCGTAATCCTTTCGAGCCTTCTAGCATTAGGCGCAAGTAGAGTTCTTTACAGTTTAAGGCCACAGCCCTAGAAGAGAAAACTAAGCCTTTTCGGATAAGGTAAGCGAACTATTAAAATACCGCCGCGCCATACAAACACCTATACAATAAGGGTTTTTTTATAGTTTCTAGGTTAGAAATATATAGAAATTAGACTTAAAGCTTTATATTTATATAGAGAGGCGTATACAGGCTTATTTTCTAGTGTTGTAGTTTATAATTAAGTTACTAGAGCCTTAATTTTACGCGTCTCTCGCTGTTGCGCGCTACCTAGCCATAATACTAGAGTAACTTAATAATTTAGCGCTATATTTTGTTCTAAGTAATCTTACTCTACTTATCTTATAGTAGGTTCTTAACTTCTTGTATAGTATTGCACTTAGAGAGGCGCTCTTTAGCCTGTTCTTTAAGAATATTAAATACGCTCTTAATAACACTAAGATCGTAGAAATTAGGTAGGTAACCTAGTAGAGGTAGCTTATACTTCTACCTATATATAGCTAGCAGAGAGGCGCTATTTTTATTACTATAAAAGAAATCGCTATTCTCTATAATATACTAGGTGTATTATTACTTCTAGAGAAGGTAGTTGCGTAGCTTATTTAATTATAATTAGAGGTATTAAAAGGCGTCTCTATACTAGTATAAGGGCTAGCTTTACAGTCTCTACTACTATAAGCGTCTCTAAACACCTAGCTAGGTAAGTTAGCTACAGGTAGTACTATCTCTACAAGCTATAAGAATAAGAGGTGCTAGTAGAATAGGTTAGGTTAAATTTAGCTATCTAAAGGTAAGAAGTAGAAGAATACTCTAAGAGGCTCTATATATAGAGGTGCTAAGCGCTAAGACGCTAGGCTAGGTTACGTAATAAGATTACGTAATCTAAGGTTATATAACCTAAGATAAATCTCTAAACTAGACTATTATATTACTCTCTCTTATAGAGAGAGCTTGTCTCTAAGCTCTAAAATACGCCTTTCTAGTCTCTCTTCTTCTAAAACTCTTATATTATACTCTTAACTATCTCTTTTAGCTTATAGTAAGTGTATTTATATTAGTTTTAAACTAGAAGCGCTTTTATAGCTACTACCTTCCCTCTAGTTACTTTCTTCTTATAGAGATTTAAACTAGAAGGCTTATTTCTACGTCTATAGAGTAGCTTTATTATAGGCTCTCTTCTTAAATAATACTATAAGCTTAGTAGGTTCTTAAATTACTTAGTAGCGCCTTTGTGTTACTCTTATATCTTCTACTCTTATAGGCTTTAAATTCTCTACTATCTTCTCTAGAGTCTTCTCTTTTTTATACGCCTTAATCTAAGCATCTAATTATAATAGTAGCTCTAGCTTATCTAGGTATACTATATAAAAGTCTCTTACCTTATAGAGAGCGTTAATAAAGCCTATAGTATTATACTAGGTAGAGTTAGAATTATAAGTAACCTATATAGCGTAGTATTAAAGGTAATTTTAATAAAGATAGTAATCTAGAATAGCCTGTATATAAAATTCTAGATAGCTATCTTTATTAAAATTATCTTTAATACTATACTATATAGGTTACTTATAACTCTAACTCTATCTAGTATAATACTATAGGCTTTATTAATACTTTCTATAAGATAAGAGACTTTTATATAGTATACCTAGATAAGCTAGAGCTACTATTATAATTAGATACTTAGATTAAGGCGTATAAAAAAGAGAAGACTCTAGAGAAGATAGTAGAGAATTTAAAACTTATAAGAGTAAAAGATATAAAAGTAATATAAAGACGCTACTAAGTAATTTAAGACTCTACTAAGCTTATAGTATTATTTAAGAAGAGAGCTTATAATAAAGCCGCTCTATAAATATAGAAATAAGCCTTCTAGTTTAAAACTATATAAGCCTCTTTCTTTCTAGTAAACAAGAGCTCTATAAAGAATAGAGTAACTAGAGAGAAGATAGTAGCTATAAAAGCGCTTCTAGTTTAAAACTAACATAAATATACTTACTATAAGCTAAAAGAGATAGTTAAGAGTATAACACAGAAGTTTTAGAAGAAGAGAGAATCTAGAAGGCGTATTTTAGAGCTTAGAGACAAGCTCTCTCTATAAGAGAGAGTAATATAATAGTCTAGTTTAAAGATTTACCTTAGGTTATATAACCTTAGGTTACGTAACCTTGTTACGTAATCTAGCCTAGCGCCTTAGCGCTTAGCACCTCTGTATATAGAGCCTCTTAGAGTATTCTTCTACTTCTTACCTTTAGATAGCTAAATTTAACCTAACCTACTC